GACAACTACACATTAAAATCTTAAATGAAACTTAAATTAAATGCTAGAAAACCATATTAAATACACGTGGATCTTTAAAAGTAAGAAAGTAGACAGTTTACACCATATACATTTTCAAACATATATCGTCATATATTTATCCTTATCCGTTATAGTAGGCTATAAACAAGCTTTGTATATTAAAACTGATGTGGGAAAAATGTTAGATCCAGATAAAATATCCCTTACATCATCCCCGGAGAGGGAAGAAGAAGTAGAGGCAATTTCTGGGACCGACGTGTATTCTTGCTGACGCTTCAAAAGCTCGCTCGCTTTCATCGTCAGAGCGTGTAGTCTGAATCCTGTTCGCGTCAGATTAATGTGAACGACCTTTGCCCATGTGTTAATCGATTGCGCCGATCAATTTTCGTGGCTGTTTGAACTGCTTGCGCCTTCACGAACGAATAGAAGGCGTAATTTACCATCAAATAAGTACAAGAGAGGATTTGAATTTATAAACAGTCAAAATCAGTGATTAAAATTCATCCCATTTAAGTAGCCATTTTTACAGAATCTGCTTTTTCGCATCGGTCAGAAAGAAGCTAATCACAGAGCCGGCATCCTAGCGTGACTTAAAATAACTGAATTTGGGCTGCATGATAAACAGTATTGCAACCTTACTCAATGTTTTTTTTGCGAGCAATAACCGGTCTTTTTTGAGATTGCGGAATGTTGCTTGCAGCACTCGGCATACTGTACATATATGTTAGAGTAAAAGTGTCAGCCTTAAATGCGTATTTATGAGCTTGCTCGATCCCATTTTGTCCGCCCGCCGCGGACGGAAACAAACGTGTTCCCATGGAACACGTACAAAATATACTAGTAAGAACGTCGTTACGGTCACAGAGTGTCCCATATGGACACCAGCTTTTATATACAAAAATTGCTTATAACCTACTATAATGGATAAAGATAAATCTATGACAATTACTTTTTGAAAAAAATGATATGTCGTAAACTGTCTTCTTTCGTTACTTAATGATCCACGTGTATTTAATATGGTATTTTAGCCCATTATTTAAGGTTTGCGTGTGTGGTTGTTGACATTTCTTCATTGTAGACGCTCTACTAATGGAAAACGAGCAAGTACAAATACAGGTACCTTCATACACACGTATCAGTATGCTGATCAGAATTGAATTGTTCTCTTGCTAATACCATTTTCCACGTGACCTTAACTCAATAAAAGGTAATCATAGGCAAACGTGTTTAAATCATCCGCTTAAAATCTGGTCTTCACATCTCATCAGATATGCAATCTACCGGATGTGCCGAAGTATCTTTCTGAAAAACCAATGGAGGATGGGACGTCTAGTGAGCCATAAATTGCCACTGTTTTCCCGCTATCGTCTTTGTAGGTAATGCCCTTCTGCCTATGTTATAAACCGCGTTGTAGCTTAGACTCAATTTTGACCTCCAAAGACACGTGGGCAGGACGAGTGGTTCCTACAACGGTCATTGCATTTTCTCAATCGAAAAGCCAGCCCGTGTCGGAGAGATGAGAAGGTTGCACGTCTCCTGTACAGGGTTGTGACTTCCAATCTCGAGTGTGGCACCAATTTCTGGGACAGCACTTGGTTTTGGTGTTATTGGCTTAAGACGACTAATACTTTAGACATACCTTCCTAGTGACCCTTGTATTGTCTCTGTTATTCCCTTCTGCCTGTTCTTTTAGCTGCCATGCAGCGTGAATAGAGAAGAATCTCCACAGACACCGCGACTCAAAGAACGTGTCCTGTAAATGATCGATATATGCCTTTCTGCCACATATATATGTACATATATGTTGTGTTCGCCATCTTCCAAATAGGAACAATAAGAGGGGCAACTCCAGGGATTAAACCTTTTCAAAAAATTTCCCTTCTTCCCTAGGCCTTGAAGTAATGCGTCCCTATGTATTGTAACTGTGTCCTGTGCACGTGTCTTTGTTGGCCGGTCGGCCGTAAGTTGTTTGTTTCCTCTGAACTATCGAGTACTGTCGAGATCGCGTCTCCTTTAGTGGCGGCTGAGATGATTTACGTAAAGTTATTATGCCCAGCAGGCTC